TAATATGGTTAGAGTGCTTAGTTTCATTGTTTTATAACAATTGAATTTTTAAGTTTGATTATTCAAACTGAACTGATTTCCTTATTGTTTTGAACAATATTTATATGAATTTTTTTGAACTAGTTTCTTAAAAAACTTATAAAACATAAGTTTAAAAAATATTTTATATTTATTTGCCCTATAATAATCTGATGTACAAATACTGGTTTTTTCGCTATTTTTTTAAATATATAAGTGGTAATGGGAGCAAAGCATTAATTTTTTATTTGAATTAAACAAATAAAAAACATTTAACATTTATAACAGACTTAAAATTTCAACGAAATTATTATATGTTTTTGTAAATATTTTATTTCTTTATATAATATAAATTTTTTTAATATAATATTACTTTATGTGGTAAGAAGCACACATTATTTTCTTATATAATTTGCTTTTGAATTAAATATACTTTTTGTTTCATTTAACGTTAAAAATATACAATAAAACAATTATATACAATTAGTTACTTATAATTTATTAGTTATATAAAATAGACATAATACATATGAAACGCTTTAATATGCTTATTGTAAGAATGCATCGTAAGAGATCACCACGAGTCATTAAGAAGGTCAACGACACACATAAACTTTCAAAACCATTTTGTCCAATTATGGATTGTTTATAATTAGACTATCTAGTATGTCACTCCTTAATGATTTGGAATCTGTTCTAGTATAGATTCTTAACTAGAGATATAGAAGATATTCAAGATCTTTAACGTGGTTGGTTGACTAAGTCACATTTCGGTGAGATATTTGTTTTGAGAGTGATTTTGTTGTATTCACGAAGGCAGGCTTGTTTCCTTCTTGTTTCTGGGTGAGCTAACTTATATAACTTATATACATAATATTGACAACCCATCTGGAAGAGTAAACTTCACAATTTCTGAGATAATTTTTGTCAGCATCTTCAGCTGCATGTCCAGTTACATAACGTAGAAAATGTTGTACATCACAATAGCACCGTATTCCGTCGGAAGGATTTTATTGTGGGATAAGTTTTGCTAAGGTTGATAATGGTAGATGGATTGTTGGTAATGGGATCTATTGAATTGAATACATGGCGTATTCAATAGATGACTGGAAACTATCCTTGTCTTTTTCGTCGAAATTAAGATGTAGCTTTTGCAATTTAGTCCAATACACAAAGAGTTCTTCGATACAATTATCTGCCTGTCTGTTTCCAACGTGAACTCTGGTATGAAGGAATATGGGACAGACTATGTATTGCAAATTTTCGTCACCGCAATGTTAAAAGTGGAACTTAATTTGCTGCAATATACATTTCAACGTACAGCTTATGTGATTGTTTACATGCGTACCGATGCCAAAGCTCGGTTTGTTGCCCTAAATAGAATCATTCGAACTGAAGGCACGATATATGGCATCATTTGTTTGTCGCTTATTAAACGTAGCAGGTTTCGATGATTAATTGAGAAGTACGTAGCTATTGACCAATGTTTCTAACCCTTTGCTGACGTCCATAGATTATTCTTAACTTGATTCACTTTTTTTCTTTTTATTTTTGCATCTCTTATATTGCCGTTGTTCTGTTTTCATTTCAATTTTTTTTTATGTTTCACACTTATGGGTTAATGTTTGCCTAGAAGATCGGTTTAAATTTCAGATGTCAACGTTACATTTAGCTTCTCGTTCCCTTATAATTTGCATGGTATTAGCCAACATGTTACAGACGCAGTGGAGCTGTTTTAAACAAATATTGAAACAAAAGGTCCTTAGTTCATCTTATCATTTGCATAGTTTTAAAAGATTAGTTTTTAAATTCTTTTCAATCCTAAAATAATACTAATGTTATTTTTTAAGTTATGCATATTTATTGAAATAAAAAGTGTGTGATTAAGACTAAAATAGAGCTAAATAGTAAAAAAAATATAATAAAATATAATATATTTTGCGGATGTCGGGAAAAAATGTGATTCGTTTGCCATCAAATTGTTAAGATTTCTATAGTTTAACCTCTGTTTGATTTATTTTTCTTGGTTGTACGTCTTCTACGATGACGCCTCCTCCTCTTACCGCCTCCAATCTTAATTTTGTTGTTGTTTTTGTTATTACTGACATTTTTGTTATTGTTTTTGTTACCGCCACTGCTACCGCTACTACTACCCCCAGTAGCTGATGGTGACGTTGCAGATGCAGCTGTTGTATCTGCAGGACTTCCAGAAGCAGCAGTGGTTGTGTCCGTTGACGCTGCAGTTGTAGTATCAGTAGCAGGAGGTGCAGTAGTATCCTGTGCCCAGGATTGTTGGATGGCTACTAAAGCCAATACGGTGAATATGGTTAGAGTGCTTAGTTTCATTTTTAATAGAAAAATGTTTTACTTTGCTGAAATGCTTAAGTTTAACTGATCTCTAAGAGAATTTTTTAGTTATTTATATGAAAGTTATACAGAAATAGTTTGTTTAAACTCTTTTGTATTCCCGAGAAATTATTTATTTGCTCTATATTAAATTAAATTAATATAAGTAGGTTCATTATATAATTATATTTATTTTAGAATACAATAAGTTAACATAAATTCGCAGGTGTTTTTCTGTGAAATATGCCTATTAACTTTTTGTGTCTGTTTACTTTCACATATTGTTTGTATATCCATAACACAAAGAAGCCAAGGTGCCACTGAAGACCCTATTTGTTAGTTATACTGGGTTGAGTTGTATTATTCTTTATTTGAATGCATAATTATCAAAATTTTGTGCTGGTTTTCCTTGAAAATATGATGTAGATTATGTTAAAAAAGACATATATTTAATTATACCTTATCTCGTTTCTATATAGCATTTCACTACACATGAGTTGAAATTGAGAAAGGATTTAACATTTATCGCAAAGCTTATAGGTAACATTAAATTGAATAGTCCTTCAAACTTTTATTAATACATGTTTTCAATGAAAGTTTTGGTTATTTAGGCAAATTCCTTATTGGTTAATAATTTATGTAATTGAAAGGAACTTATTTTTTAATAATAAAAACTTTCCTTATATAAGATATATGTATCAACTTATATTTCCTGAAAAATTGTTTTGGTTGTGGGCATACTTTGCATTTATTCCAAGCATTTAAGTCATGACACTCTGAAGTATTACAGCTAATTATCTTTTACAATCAGAAATGCATTCATTTATTCATTTTGACAGAAATTTTAATCAAATGAAATAATTATATTAATTTAAATTTTTTTTGATTCAATTCACTGAATATTTATTGCTTTTTTGGCACTTGGATTGGTTCAGTATGTGTACCTCACATTACCTGGGGGTATTAAGACATCAAATGTAAATGAAACTCAATATATGCATTATTTTTTATTTTCAAACAATATACCATATATATAAATATGTAGTTGATACCACTGTAATTATAGAGCCATCTTCAAATAAATATGTTCCAATACTGTTCTTTAATTAAAAACTACAAAATAATATTACTGTTTCATAGAATAAATATGGAATAATCTGCCTTGGATGTTCTCGTTACTCTATTCCCATATTTAACTTATTTATAAATTAATCTAAATTGAAGTGAACAGCGTTAATGAAAATGTTTTCACTGGAAGAAATTACGTGGTATATGGAATTACTATGATCAAATCAACAAAGTTAAGATAATATTGAATATTATTTCATATAGTAAAGCTCATTATTGATCATATAATTTTGATAATAATATGATCAATATGAGAGTCTCTCATATTCTTGAAACCAATGGCATTAGTCTTTAGTGCAGTAGTATGTTTGTACACTCAAAACAATTCGTTTTCTGTAAATTATTTAATGATTTACAGATGTAAGCTAGTTCACGTCATAAATCATAACATCATATTATAAAACAAAGAGATCGTTTGAAGCAACTGAGTTTATGCTTGTTCTTGCACTGAGTTTTTGCTTTTTCCCACAAACGAATTCACAAACGAAAAACAGTTGACGAAGATTTCATTTGCGGCAAATAAAAGAATTTTTCGGTGTAGTTCTCATGTAACAAACTGATCATTTACGGCAATCGTTTCGTCAATTGTGGTAATTGAACTTCAGATCACGTAAATAAAATTTACTAACCAAATTCAGTTAACGAATTTTTGGTTTGCGGTAACCGAAATAATTTTCAAAATCTATAAGTATATACGAAAGTGAAATTAATTCTATCCATAGAAGTGCAAAAATAATTGCACTTACTTCACAACAAATTGATTAGTTGTGAAGTAAGTAATATTACTTAAGAAGATCAATAATATTACTGATTAGTTGTGAAGTAAGTAATATTAAATTTAAATCTATTACAAGGTATTTAAATTTTTTTAAAAAATATAACTCACTTTTTTATTTTATTCAATATTGAAATGGAGATAACAGATTTAGAAAGGTTGGCAAAATCAAATACGATTGCTTTTGGCTTTCTTCGTCATGATTTATTTATATTTTTATTTTTCTATTCATTTTCAATATTATAGAATATTTTATGTATATTATGATTAGGATTAAAATGATTGAAAAACAACAATCTTTGGAGTTTTAGTATTTTATTCTAAAATATCTAGGGTTTAAAGCTAAAAATCATCTAATAATAAACTTCAGGTTAAATTCATAAGAAATCGAAATGAAAAATTTATTTTTTAATTAAAGTTTGAAATTAATAAATGCGCGTCCCATCAAACTTGATATATACATTTGCACCTACGCACACATAAATCACAACAAAATAATAACAGATGTATTGCAATTAAATGAAGACTAATAATGGCATTAAAAATTATAACACATTTTTAAATTAAATATATTCTTTCAGTACTAATTTTTATTAAAAACATTTTTAACTCATTGAATATTTTGTAAAAGTATTTTTTTTTTAATTTTTAATCTGCAATTCAGGATTCTATACATGTTCAGTTTCAATTATTATCGTTGTCAATTTGGCTTTCCTGTGGTCAAAATTTTAGCTTAACCTCTATTTGCTCTTCTTGTTTTAGTGGTACGTCTCCTTCTAGTTCTCCTCCTCCTCCTCTTGCCACCTCCAACTTTGACATTATTCTTGTTGTTATTATTGCTTACATTTCGGTTGTTGTTGGTGTTGCCACCGCTGCTGCTACTGCTTGCGGCGGTAGTAGTGTCGGATGATGATGCAGCTGTTGTAGTATCTGTACTGGCAGCTGTAGTTGTGTCTGTTGAAGCTGCAGTGGTGTCGGTTGAAGCCGCAGTGGTGTCCTGGGCCCAAGACTGTTGGATGGCTATTATAGCCAATACCGCAAAAATGCTAAGAATGCTCAACTTCATTGTTATACGACAATGTTTCAACTGATTTCTAGAAATTTCAAGTTCAATTTATATGAAATTTTTGAACTCTTAATTTTTTTATATAATAGGCTTTTATTTGTTAAATAATTTTTGTTTTATTAAATAACAAATATTAGTATTAAACATTTGGATGCGTGGTTTTATGTGCTATAGTATGAAATAATCGCAATAACTCAGTTGTTCAATTTCACAAAACAGTTGTAGTCAACAATAAGATTAATAGAACAAACATAGTAATGGTTGTTTGTTGTTATTAAAAATAATTTAAAAATTTAAATATATATTTAATTTAAGAACATTTATTTAAAATGACATTATATAACCAAATTTTTCAGAAAGCTAAATAGTTAGATTTTATGTGTTTAATAATTTTAATTCGAAAATTGTTCGGTTTTACACAGTCTATTTTTGGTTATTACAATAACGTCTTTTAGTAACTTATAGACTAGCATAATTAATTAATTAATTAAGTTTAAGTGTTTTAATTAATACGAATCGTAGAGTAACATTAGCATGACCTTCTCCATATTACGTTCCTAGATTAGGTTGCATGCACAAGAAAGATCATGCAATAAATAATGCCTCTACAAAAGAATAGTATTGAAATTTGACAAAAAAAAAAATAAAGTAAATAAATACATAATTAATTAATTCAATTATTCTATAGCTGGTTTATGATTTCGTTCTAATATATCACATCAAATAAATTAGTTAATAAACTTTCACAGCAAATTAACAAGAAACTCTAAATTCGAATATACAAATCAAGTAAATCTTTGCGTCAGAACACCAACTCTGAGCTTCAAATTTTGCAGGGCACGAGTTCAATCCTTGATACTTGTAGCCTCAAAAAAAATTATTTACGAATAATTAAATATAGGAATCATAAAATATTTCAAGACTATAATTGATGTGTATTTGGCAATATTTTAAATAGCTACATGGTTAGCCAAAAATGCAATTAATTAAAATAATATAAAAATAATTTTTGTTGTTGAAGTTCACTACTTGTCGACACCTCTCTATTAAATACAAAATCTTCTATTAAGTAAAATAATCACTACAATCATATTGACGTTAAAATTAAATTTATGTTAATAACTTTTTAAAACAATAGAGATTTTAAATCTTAATAAGCATGTGGAAATTTGTTTTTAGAAACTTTACCTAAAGTGATTAAAGTGAGTTTAAAGTAAGCTTAAATCTGTATTGCTTTTTTAGCAATGTTTTTGTTTTCTATTGAGTTACTAAATGCTCGAAAAGGGTGAGCTGCCTCAAGATGTGTGCACAGGAGTATTATTTCAGCAATTGGTATTATGTGTAACTATGTAAAACGATCCTAATTGTTCAAGAAGTCCAAACAGTTGAAAGTTTTGATCTAAATGTTCGAATTCGAGTATACTGAAGTTGCTCGAGCATTGTAATGTTCGAAAACTTTGAAGCAGTGCTATGCAAGTAAAATAATTGTATGAATCCGCACCTGTATATGTCATACGCAAGAATAGTAAACTGCTTCTTTACATTTGGAGATCGGTTAAATGGCATGATCAACTCATCGCCCTTTAAATTGTTGATACTGAATGATTATTATTTAATCATTACTAAATTATTACACTTATGTTAACAAATAATCCAGTATTTTTTTTTATCATTTGTAAGCATTTCAATGTTATTATAAAGATTGTGTTATTTTTAAGTACATATTTTACTTATATTAAAACATATCACTGAAACTTAAATACTGATAGAATAATTTAAATAATTTTTAAACAAAATTAATTTTATTAATTGAAAATATTTCAAATATCTGTACTATCAAATGCTGTCAAAATACTTTGTAAAGCATTTTTTTTTTCACAAATTTATTTTGATCATATATAAGAAGTAATAAGATGTAATTAACTCAAATTATTTGGTGAATTTATTCAAAGCAATAAATATTTCAATTAATTTTTATTGCATTTTATTGTGTATTAAACGCCATAATTTTCGAAAAATAAATAAATCAATTAATCTTGTGCCGAGCAAATTCGTATCAATCGAATTGTTGTGTATGGAAACATGCCCGATTTAACAGTTTCTATCCAAACAATTCGATATGTTTGTAAACAATTACAAACGTTCTAAATAATCAAAAAATGTGAGCAGAATTAACCAAATCAACTAGAATAATTTATTATTAAAGAATTTCTCAGTACTTAATAAAACTTTTGTAAATAGTATTGAAGTAAATATTTATAAACGCAAATATTTACATAGCAAATGCTGTAAATTTTTTTATAATTACTTTTGGTGAGAATACTTTTGGTGCTGTAGTATGTGAACTACTCGTACAATATAAATATAAATATAAATACAAATATTGTATATATCAACAAATATACAACTAACAGGAACAGAAATGAATTACAAGTATTTGGGTTAATTAAGGCTTGTGTTAAAGCAAATTGTATTTAACATTAAAATGTAAATTTATTAAATCAAATTAAGAGGTAAATATTATTTCAGCATTAAATTAATTATAAAAAAAAAATTGCTAAAAACTTCATTTACAAAAGTATATCTTGCAGCGCACAGTATGTCAAAATGAAAATTGAACGATCAAAATTCGGTATTTTTTGAAACAGTAGAGATATTGAAATGATTTAATTGAATATTAAAATTAAAATATAGATGAACTTTGATATATTTGAGTTCAATTGGCTTACTGGAATGCATCCAGATTTGGGCATAAACATAGTCAACTATTACATTTTTTTTCAATACCTCAAAGACTATGGCAGGTTAAAAGTTGTAATATGGTGTACTAAATACCTGTACTATAATGCATATGTGCAAAAACTTGATCCTCCACCCTCCATTTAAAGTTTTTATAAAAAATTGTTTATTATTGTTAAAGGAAACTTTTATTTCTATTTAATTATGCATACTTTTTATGTATGTATTCAAAAAATGGAATTGATCCGCTTATTTATTATAGGCTATGTTCTTTGCAAATTTATGAAATTTTAGCAAATTTGAGATTTTACAAAAATTAACGAACTTTAAACCCTAATAACTTTTTTAATAGTTATTAAAATATGATTAATTTTAAATTTTCAAAAACTTAGGATATTGTTATTATTTGTGTATAAGAAAGCTTCAATTTTAGTTATCAATAAAATTTTATAAGTGAAAATGCACAACTATGCAATCACTTCTGTATGATATTATCAGTAATTTTCATATATACCTACGATACCCAAAAAATGTATTCAAGTTCAAGCCAAATACAAAACCTACTGAGCCCTATTTCAGGTCCTAGATATCATTAAAAAATTATGCAAAATATGATCTTTAATTAATCTCATATATTTTAATAACGAATCCAATAACAGTTATTCTTTTATAAATATTTAATTTGTTCACAATTGAAATTTCAGGCAGATTGATAGGAAAACCATGAAGTTATTACACATTATGTTCAGAAGCATTTGATGTTATACGAGTTAATAGTCTAAAGTAATTCAATACTTTAATTTAGTAACACACTATTATATGTACTCAATACGAAAAGAGTTTTAAGTTATTGAATGAGTTTCGAAAAGTATATTTTAAGGCGCAATGAGCCTCCATCGAAGCAAATAAGTTATGGACTAAGTCTGTATTTATTATTCAATTTTTAGGTCTTTGCGTATATTTTTATTTCGATAGCTATATTGACAGATTTTATTTGCTAAATATATAGAAAAAGTGTATGAAAATAAAATAATAATTTTTTATGAATTTTTATGGAGACCAAATCTAAGACCAAATACTATTTTTATCAAAGAGAAAATGAATAATGGCTATAATATTTAAAACTCAGCGATGCTGTTATCCACTATGTCTATAACTAATTACACTGTAAATATTTTAATTAAAAATTTTTTAATTAATTTTAAATTTATTTTAAGAAAAAATGTTACTGAAAATATTATTGAATATTAAGAGAAAATATGTACAAAAATATTTTTTATTTTTTATTAAAAAAAATGTACATGTAGTACTCATATTTAAATATAAATTTTCATATTTCCTGTGCAATACTAATGCAAATAGTCAGCAAGTGAAATATTCCTTTTATCATTATCTTTCACAATAATTTCACTATAATTTAGCGTAAAATTATTGCAACATCTATTTTCATCAATTAAAATAATCAAATTAAATCGCGTTCTCATGTTCTTGGCAAGATGGTGCATCGGTGCGTATACTTGACATATTTATGAATGCTTGCATTTTGCTGCATTGCTGCAATGCTGGTACTGGTAGCTATGAAGAATATAATTCGGGCCACGGAAATGTTTAAATAATTCTTTTAATTTTTATTTTAATTAAGTTCATTCAAAAACTCAAAATCTTATTTTCGTTAATTAAATATCAACGTTTCGGTTGCGCATATTTAATACACACATTAAGAACTATAAATTTCTATTTATAATTTAATCAAATTAAATTTGCAATCAATTATAAATATGTGGACCGAAAAATTAAAAACGTCATATACTTTAATAAAAAGAACTCAAACAAGCAGCCAAACAAATAAAAAATATTTTGAAATCTTTTCATACCACAAAATTATACAAACATATTCTTGAATATCGCCGCCAAGAATTCAGAACTTTAGGAAATCGAAGGTGAAGAGAATTATTAAGAAAGAAAATAATTATTGAATTATGTATGCATTTTTAAAATTTGAATATATGAAAGGTGTTTAAACTATTAGATTTTGTTTATTAACTCTTCTCACAATTTTTGAAAGTTTTTCAGATTTTCTGATATAAATGAAAATTATTCTATGTACATCAGTGCCAAATAATAACACGTATAAAAATAATATTGCTCTGCAGATGCTAAGATCATCTGGAATTAATAAAAAATTTTTAGCAGAAAACAAAAATATAATTTTGAAATGCTATTTTTGTTTTTAAAATTTGAAGGTGGCTTATACTAAGTGA